GAATGCTGTTCTCTGTAACTTGTATCTTTAGGCCATGCCTCTGTGCCCACAATATGCAAAGGGATTTTATGATAGTGGAATAGGTCTATGAATATGCGTCATGCCTCATCTAAAAGATCTAGCTAGTGATCTAAAGCAGTGGTGCTCAAGCTTTTGGCCCCAAGGGCTAGCTGAGTGGCATGGGGCTGGTCTGTGCTGGATTGAGCTCTGCATGTCAAGACTGGACCTAGAACTGTCCCCTCCCTGCCCCAAGCATCAGGGCTGGGGACAAAATATAGTGATATAGTTGGGGCTTTGAGCTGGGGGTTGGACTAGATGACCTCCTGAAGTCCCTTCCAACTATCATTTTCTACGATTGGGCCTGGAGCCCGGTGCTGGTCTTATATAGCAGGATTAGGCCAGCACTTCCCCCATGTATCAATGTCACCTCCATCTGGCCTGGGACTAGGTGCCTGATCCAGTATGCAGAGCATCAGTGCCACTGCTCCCCTGCTGCCAAATTTCCAGACCATGGAGAGCCTGATGGGCTGAATGACAAGGTGCCATAGGCCACAGGCCAATGGTTGAGCACTCCTGACCTAGAGCACTCGACTCTGTTTCCACCACTTGCAATATTTCCCTTTCGTGGCCAGCATTTCCTATTTTCCCTGTTCCGCCCATAACACCAGGACACTAGTCCTATTTTGGTTTCTTGCTGTGATCTGATGGTGGAACTCCAAGTGCAATTCATTACCAAAGCACTGGGGTGGGGGTCCTTTTTAAAAATAATCATCTTGTAATGAAAACAAAATTAGAGGCTCTCTAGGCTAGAGCTTCCCAACACATTTTGAATGATGCTTTTAGCTGGAGTAAGGAGCTAATTTTCTATTGAAGAATAACAGCTATTAGAGACAGAAGCCATTAGAAAGGAAGAGACGAGCACATGTTTAAATATTTTATCATTAAATTTAATAGCCCCTGCTGTGAGACATTTCATTTCTGAAGTCTGTTTACTTTAATCAAGTAAGTCTAAATGCTTTGCCAGAAGTACTGTCCAACTTTATTTTTTTTATAAAATAGCTCCAGCTCATATGAATGCAGATCATAGTCTTAAATGTTACAAACATGCAATACATTCTTTTCATTAGAAGAACAAGCAGCAAAATCAGAACAGCTTGATATAACAGTGCTATATAGAACAATAGCTATAGCATGCATCTTCTGCCCTCAGTAATGACCTGTATGCCACGATGCTTGTTCAGATACAGTCCATAGTTTTGCTCCAGTGCAGAGACAAATGTACCTGTAACAATTCAGTATTAAACTTGTACTTCAAAATGAGGTCTTATATCTCTCCTGGAAGAATCAAATCACTTCTTGAGAGTGGCCATGCTATACGCAAGCACTTTGCGAGCTGTAGAAACAGAGCTTAGCTTGGGTTGTGGACAGGTGATGTCATGAAAGCAGAGTTGAACTGCTAAAGGATTTTGAGTAATAACGTCCCTCTGTATTATGTGCGTTATACTCACAGATTTCTAAAAATGCAGACAGTCTCAAACCATTATCTACTGCATTTTAAAAGTAGTAAGGAAACTATGCAAGTAAAATAAGTTTCCTCAATGCTTGCAGCCATGTTATTCTAGTACCACCATTTTGCAACATGATTTCAATGCAAAAGCAATTAGTTCTGAATATCTGCCTTTACTAAGCGTTACAATGAATGTTAACTCACACTCCCTCCTGTTGAAGCTGAGCCATGCTTCAGTGAAAGATTACTATTAAATGCATAGAATAGTCCTTGAAACTGGAATTGGAGTCCAGGTCCTTCCTGTGACTGCTCTAGCTCTTTTGCTAGAATTGCACACAATTGCATACGTGCTCTCTGGCCCAGCAAATTTACCACCTGGGTAAGTTATGTGGCCAACACTGATGTCACTGACATTTCCACCAGTGTAGATGGAAGAGTCCAACAGCAAGCCCCGACTGTGGGGTAACTTTGCCTAACACAAGATAGGCAGATGGCAAGGAAGTGGTGCACTATACAATGTATCTTGTATGCATATGATTCAGTCATCACTACCCTTGAATAGATCCAGAGTTCAATTACACCTCTTTCCAGTCCTGAACAGGATACCCAAATCCTGTCCCTATCTGTGATATAGGCACCTTTGGACCCCCCCCCCAGCATTTCCTACTGGATAGCTAACATGGCTCTCTGTGCAGGGTGCTGTTGAATGCTATTCTGGGGCACCTAACTATCCTGGGCATTGTACAGGGTGCCAAAGGTGCTTAAATTGGAGCTATGGATTCTGCTCCAGGGGGTAGGCACCTACAAGTCAGGCACTGCAACTTTGACTGTTTCAGAGAGAGAGAGGATTTGACTCAAACTGCTCTGTTTTAGCTTCGTCAGCTGTAAAATCATTACTTGGACTGTCCGGTATATTGTCAATAACTTTGTCAAGCTCTACTTCCTTGAAGTAAGCAAATCACAAGCAGTATTGCTAAGGATGGCTGCCTGGACTGGTAACCTGAGCACAATTTCTTGATCATTTCATAAGACTCGTTAAAGATTGTTCTCTCTCCCTCTCTCTTTTGCAGATGGTAGGAGAACACTGTAAACGTCTGACAAGATTCTGTATATGAATCCCTATATGCAAGGTGCTCATTACAAGTGGAGGAGGAGGTGCAGACTATTGAGATGCACCTCAGTGCTATACCCTGGAAGAGCTGGACCTAGCCCACTGTACAGTAGCCACTGAATGCTAGTAACATTTTATCATTCTGACTAACCCGGCAGACCAGACCATTTTATTCTGTTTTCAGACATGTCTGGGTTTGAGGGAGTAGTAGTGTAGGTGTTTCCTTCCTGACAGCTGCAGTCTGTGCTTACAACAGCACCACCTGTCAAACTAAAACACTGGGTCTTGGTTGTTTCTATTTTCATTCCATGAATGCCCCTATTTCCAAGATGCTTGATGTGTGTCTGCTTACCCTTTTCTTGCTTATTTTCCAGAAATGTGATTTAAAGCTGGACTGTCATCTACTTTTCAATCCCCTGCGAATGCTGACAACCCAGTCAAGTTATTTCCAATTAACTTATCCTAAGTAAACTAAAAATATTCAGTTTGTTCAGGCAAGAGCACAGATAGCTAACAATTACTGGCAGGGGTCTCTCAAACTCCTGAAATATTTAAACACACACCCAAATCCTCTATAAATAGGGTGCTATATAAGAGAGCTTTCACAACTTCATCAGATCTGCACCACTCCAAAAAACAAAGCAGTTCAGATCTTAAACCTGGTTCTTTGAAGTAAGAGGCTGGGGAAAAGTCACAGACAAGTGATTGCCCTAGGAGCACAAATGGGTTATCATTAATTTTCTCTCTATTTCAAAATCCTTCACCATCTCCAGCTTGTCTATCAACCTTCTGCTTGACTGCACAGTCTCAGACTCTTAAATTAACATACATTTTTCAAGCGACTGCTCTGTACCAATTGTCTAAAAGTGACAAACACAAAACAAAAAGCAGCATTTCTAAATCACATCATGTTATGAATTATAAATAAAGAAGGAGCTCAAGGTTACCTATGCAGTTGAATATTTAATGGTGGCATTTTGCTGCGGGTTCTCATGTATTATTTTAAACCTCTGCTCAGCTGCACGAACATGTACAGTTCAAGCATTCTTTTTAGTATCCACAGCATTTAAAACCATTAAATGTTTCTCCTGTATGTAAACTAATTATTAAAACAAAGTTGAAGGGAACCATTGTACATCTTAAAAAAAAACAAAACAAAACAAATCAGAGCACAACCTAAAAATCACAGAAATTTCTGGATCTTTATTTGAAACCTCAGAAAATAAGTACCTGTAAGTCTCTTATACATGAGCAAACACGCAGCATACTAATTGAATTTGAAGCTTGTCCTACTTAAAAGTGGAGGAAGGTTTTTTTCCCCCCATGAACTTAGACCATGAAGCTAATTGATCTCTCAGCACAAGTTTAAAAACCAAAATCAAACAATGACATAATGATAGGCACATCTCCACCCATAATAATACAGAACCACAATTCCTGTGGCTGGATAATAAACGTGCTCAGGTACATGTATGATCTGGAATGGATGCTTGTCCTCACCCTTCTTAAATGGCCAAATACTCGTGGCTCTTTGAGAAATTCCTAAGACTTGGGAAGGGACAACTCTTGTACCTCTAACACTGAATGCTTCCCTCTTGCCTGCCCACAGGGAAGCAGCTCTTCAGAAGGTCACTGCTGCAGCGGTAATAGGCTGTAGTTCCTTACAGGACAGACAGATTTGGGGCAGAGGGAGAGGGATGGAAGGTGAACCTGACACGTGCTGTCTAGCTTGGTTGAGACTGGAGGGTGTGGGGAATGGGATTTTGGATTCCTTTGGTTTTTTGGGCTGTTTTATTTCCCAGTTCTTGCCAACAATTTTTCTACTTAGAAATAAACATTTAAAATTATGCTCACCGCTAAGTGCCATTCTAAAGGCAATAAGATCTTTTAATAAAAGTACAATTGCCTTACTATTTGAGGGGGAGGGGTTCTCCCCTTCAGGTCCTAGAAGTAAAGGGGAGAAATTCCATCCTCACCTACTAGTCCATGATCTTGTTTTGATATAGGACATGTTCTGACCCATCTCTTTGCACTGGCAGCAACTCAATCATACCTTTATCTGCCTCCTCTGAAGCTATCATTCTGCTCTGAATTGCACCTCTCCTTCTAGCCAAGAACCAACAGCTACTCATTCAGCCTACAGGCATGTAGTTAATCCCCTAGGGGCAAGCCTCAGCCTTAAATGGAAGCCCACAAAGGGAATCTTTGCTGCCTCTTCTTTGCCCACGCCCTTGGGTTAGGCCGGAGGAGGAAGCATGGTGGTTGTACGTAGCTAAACACACTCAGTGGGCAGTCTGCCCAGTAGGGAGCACAGCAGTAGCTTCTAGGCAGCATTTGGTAATTAGACAAATGGTTCCCTGAAGGACATTCAACAAATATCCAACCCCTCCTTTCATTAAATTTGCATCTTATTTTATAGAAGGGGGATACTTATGTATTTCTAATCTGTGAAGCCATTTATGGTGGACTGCTTTTTTTTAAAAAAAAAAAACCAGGGATTTAGAAAGGGTGCCTGATATAAATGTTCCTTTGGGATCTACAGGTAGCTATTTATTCATCTACTCAGAATTATTACAAGCATCTGTTGCTTTGGAAAAACTCAACTTTGAGATTTCAGTTGGATGAAAGTCAGCGGCAATCTAGTCAGACAGAGGCTGCCACTTAAGGAGAGCCAGAACTCTGATCTCGTGCTTGACCGAACTAAGGTTACTACATTTTCCTCATGGAGATGCAACCAGATCAGACTCAGGTTCTACCTCTATTAAACACAATGCTGGGACATCCCAGAAAACTGAACAAACCAAGGAGGCTTTAGCCATTCACAGCAACATCAACATAAGGACACACAAAGAAAACTTATCTATCCAATATACAGAAGAATACATTTCCCTTGTTCTGGAAGATTTATGCCAGTGATACAGTTTACTCATTTTATCCTCAATGTGATCTATTTTCTCCTTGGCATAGGTGTGCAGTTCTACCAATTTAATATGAACTGCATGTGTGCTTTTTGGGTAGAATAGGCCTCATTATTTGTATTGTCTCTCAAACTCCCTGCGAGCAGGTCAGATTTCACCTTCGGCTTTTCCCTA